AAATTAATTGTCCTAAAAAAAACTTATAATTATATTTTTATAAAATATGGAACTGTACTACTCAATTGCATCGTTTTTAAATATAATTTTATTGCATTTTTTTATATTCAATTTTCCCTATTCTTTAAATGCACGAAGGTAAATAGAGGTAGATTGCAGGTAGATAGAGATAATAACTTACTCGGTGCATTTATAAATGTTCGCATATGTTTCGCATGCATTATATGACGGAATAGTAAATGTAGATAATTTTAACACGATAATATAAAAATACAACTGGAGTTTATCGTCTGTTTACATATTAATATATAAGAATAAATATGCATTTATTATGTAATAGGTAGAGTATTATATAATATAATATTATTAGATTATTATAACTGAGTATTCAAATTTCATGGCTTACCTGTTGTAACTCTTTATCCATTATCTACACTTTTCAACTTCACTGATGTCTATATGAGAACTGTATGAAAGTTTGTCTACGAAAGTTCACGTGTTTGTGAAATGAAACTGAAGAAAAATACGATGTCGTTATCGTTCTAGATAACCCTAGCTTACGCAAATTACACGATACATATTTAGTTTCTCACTCGATGATAAATGGTGATTAATGTGTTTTTTTTCAGAGAGAGAGTTTTTTCTCTCTCTAAGAGATAGTAAAAGATTAATATGAATCGAAGTTACTAAATTCATATCTTTAGAAACAGAGTTGATTTTAAAATTTCTAGATCTCTTTTTATAAATATAGGAGGAAAATATATTTCTAATTTATACTATAATTCTAGAATTTAGACAATGTATCTAAATAAGGAAGACCGGGGCGGGTTGTCACACTTTTCAAATACTTTTAAAATAAATGTTTGCAATATTTTATAATATCGTATACTACTTTATAATGTAGCTACATCCTTTAAGTGTAAGAAAAAAATACTAAATTTGTATATATTTATATACAAAAAAGTTATTTAATTCTAAGCAAAATCGTGCAAATGTGACAACTTATCCCATACCTTGGGTTGTTTGTTACATGATTCTGGATTGATTGTCACGTGTCTTTTATATAGAGGAAACATACAACAAATAGTTTCTGTTTTAATACTTTATTAAAATTAGTGACAGTTTTGTATAATATTTTTGTATAATATAGTGCAGCATGAAAACAATTATTGAACAAAAAATTAATAATTTTCATAAACTTCCTAGTGAAAACAACCTAGTCAAAATGACCTACCTATGTCAAATTATCATCAAATTGATGAGGGGTATGATGTCAAAAAGAGTGATCAAAATGATGGCATTATGACTGTAAAACGTTCCATACCTTCATTGTGATTATAACTGTCCTTTTGATGTCTGTTTGATGTCAAAGTAAATAATTCCCTCTACAATAATAAATGCAAGACTAAAATCAAATTAAAACTAAATTACATTGAATATGAGACAAAATAAAGACAGAAATATATTACACAAAATTTTTCAATTAAAATTTAAACTTTATTCTTAAAATTAATATGACAGGTAACTTAAAATCACATCGCAGGTTAAACGTAAATCAACTTACAAGGGAACTTCGCGAACTCAAAAATTCTGATTTTAATGAAACTTCCCACACATGTAGGAGGGGTAAAAAGATGAATTTAGAAATTTTTTGTTGCTGCCCAAAAACGGTTTTAAGGGGTAAAACCACCACTCATAAGTTTGTTTCATTTCAATTCGCTGAATTTAATTTGTGATAAATTATTAACTTTATTTATATAAAATATTGATTTTATTTCGACATTTATTTGATTTTGTTTTTATTCTGTATATAGAATAGAATAGATACTTTATTTATCCCAAGGGGTCTTAAAAGGCGTTTTTTTTTTTTATATTAAGGACGTACTCAACCCTGTATAATCTTATCCAGCACCTCATCTTATCCAATATATGTGCCGTTTTATAGGGACGTACCCAATCCCTTACACTTGATCGCTATCCTTCGACAATTTACAATTTTTGCTTAATCCGATTTCTCGCCTGTACACACATACACGTTTCGCACGCCCTGTCCTTATCCTTCTTTTCGCTTATTCGCTTATTCGCTCTCTCGCTCGCTTGCTTATTCGCTTATATATTATACGTTTATTCGTTCTTAAATCTATCTTATCTCTAAACCTAAGCCGTTTTCTCCCTGTCGGACTTCCGTTTCCTTTGCCAACCTTCCTTTTCATTCATACTATTCTCTCATCCACCTTCTCCATTCTCCTCCCTCTATCCTGTTTTATTTTCTCTATCGCTTTCATCCTCTCCCTTCTCTCCCTCTCCTTTTTTTCTCAGTAACCTTCCCCACCACT